CATTTTACGTTCACTGTATCTTACACTGCATTTTACGTTCACTGTATATTACACTGCATTTTACATACACTGTATCTTACACTGCATCTTACACTGTATCTTACACTGCACCTTACACTGCATTTTACATTCACTGCATTTTACACTGCATCTTACACTGCATTTTACATTCACTGAATCTTACACTGCATTTTACACTGCATCTAACACTGCATCTTACACTGCATTTTACACTGCATCTTTCACTGTTTCTTACACTGCATCTTACACTACATTTTGCACTGTATCTTACACAGCATCTTACAATGCATCTTACATTGTATCTTACATTGCATCTTATACTGTATCTTACAGTGCATCTTACACTGTATCTTACACTGCATCTTACACTACATTTTACACTGTATCTTACACTGCATTTTACATTCACTGTATATTACACTGTATCTTACCCTGCATTTTACACTGCATTGTTCACTGCATTTTACACTGTATCTTACACTGCATCTTACACTGCATTTTACACTGTATCTTACAGTGCATCTTTCACTGCATTTTACACTGTATCTTACAGTGCATCTTTCACTGTATCTTACACTGTTTCTTACACTGCATCTTACACTGCATTTTACGTTCACTGTATCTTACACTGCATTTTATGTTCACTGTATCTTACACTGCATTTTACATACACTGCATCTTACACTGTATCTTACACTGCACCTTACACTGCATCTTACACTGCATCTCACACTGCATTTTACAGTGCATCTTACACTGCATTTTACATTCACTGCATTTTACACTGCATCTTACACTGCATTTTACACTACATCTTTCACTGTATCTTACACTGCATTTTTCACTGTATCTTACAGTGCATCTTACACTGTATCTTACACTGCATTTTACACTGTATCTTACACTGCATTTTACATTCACTGTATATTACACTGTATCTTACACTGTATCTTACACTGCATCTTACACTGTATCTTACACTGTATCTTACACTGCATCTTGCACTGCATCTCACACTGCATCTTACACTGCATCTTGCACTGTATGTTACACTGCATCTTACACTGCATCTCACACTAATCTTACATGCAATGTAATGTAAGATGCAGTGTAGGATGAAGTGTAAGATGCAGTGTAAGATACAGTGTAAGATGCAATGTAAGATGTAAAATGCAGTGTAGGATACAGTGAATGTAAAATGCAGTGTAAGATAGTGTAAAATGGAGTGCAAGATACAGTGTAAGATGCAGTGCAAGGTACAGTGTAAGATACAGTGTTTGAGTCTATGCTACAAATAAACAGAAAAAAAGTGCTTTGTTTGCATTGAGTGCATACCTGCATTTCAGAATTGCATATTTATATATCCGTAAAACTACTGGAGTGAACGCTTTCAAACTTCCCCATTTGATAGGGTGCAGGATAAGCTTTTTATGTCTTGTTTCTCACTTTGCAGTGAATATTTTTATTTTATTTGTTTTATTGTTTTCTCATGGGGACAGCTTTCACATCAGATGGAATACAGACAAAAAGCTTTCAGCTTTATGTAATAAATAAATAAGCTTTTGACATGGTGGACAATGGGTGGATTACCTGGAGACAACGTCAGGTTTTCTCCTTTAGAGTTGACGGCCTGAATAAAAAGGTACCGGACTGGTAAAACTGCATCCGCTCTCAGACCTGGACCCCAGACGAGACACCTCTGCGGACTGATTCCTTCACAGGCAGACACCGGCAAATCTGCGCTGAAAAATGCGACTAAAACCAAAAATCTGTGCATTAAACCGCTCCTAACAGCGCCAGCCGAGTCTCTGCTTCGTTTACGCGTCATATTATTTAATAAAATAGCGCGAGCTAAACGCATAAAGTTGCAGAATAATCCGTAAAGTTTCGATGCGGAGTCTTCAGTCCGACATGTTGGCTGGAAACCACGCCCACTGCATTGTGATGCCTTCATGAGCATCGGAAATATTAAAAGCAGACTAAAACGAGGAAAGTGTGGTTAAAACTATAATTTTAATCTTTTTTTACCTAAGCAAATTTAACAAGTAATAATAAGATTGAAAGTTTATGGGGATAAAAAAACTATATGTTTGATTTTTTTTAAATCAAGTGTCAGTAAAAAAGCAACTACTGAACATTTCTGAACAAAAAGTACAGAAAAATAAATGATCTTTATCTATTGTCAAAAAATATTAAAGTAAAACAAAAACTGCAAGCACTTAATTTAAATTGGGCTAAATGAGCTGCATGTTAGCATTAGGTTATAAATAATAATAATTACAGGTTTTTATTGCTGTCTTGGATGAGATGTGGGTATATATTTTTTTATTTTAACTAATGATTTTTTAAATGTTTTTTCATTTATCATTTCTTAGTTTTTTTCATTTGTAATTTTCTACTATTATTATAATACAGTCATTTCATATTAAGTCAAACTGACCATCATCATCATGCTTATAATCTTTTAAAATGTAGAAAGCTATCAAAGTGTCTTAATTTTTCCTTTCACATATTAACTAGTCCGCTCTAGTGTTAGCTGTTTGTTTGCCACATTGTATCAACAAAAGAAACATTATGATGTAACGTTGGGAGAAATATAGGCTGCAGATATTCTGTGAAAATGTAAAAGCACTAAATGAAGGAATGAGGAACAAGCTGAAGGCTGAAAATGTTTTGTAGAAACTGGATAAGAATAACTGAGGTGTTTAAAGATCCAAACCTGGTTACTCACAACAATATTTGCCCGAGACACCGTCCTTTACATTACAAAGATAAATTATTTGCTTCTCAGTCTGCATACATTTAGCTGATTTGAGCTAAATAATTTGAAAGTAAATTAATCAAGCTGCTTGTTATCAAATCAGTTAACACAGAGCTTTTTGCATTACATTCAACACTTGGTTGTAAAAGTTTATTTCAGCAAAAGTAAAATAAAATCTGAGGTTACTTTGTAGTTTTAACAGCAGTGACACATGAACAGTCCAGTGAAAACTGATGAATGAAGGAACTAAAACATCTAGTATGTGAAGATATTGTCTTTTTGATGACCCAGTTTCTCCAGATTGGGCAGACAGGCGTTTCGGATCATCGGTGCAGGACCACAGAGGACAACGAGGACGTCGGAGGACGGTGCACGGAGGTGGTCCTTGATCATGTCAAAGGTCACATATCCAGAACTGTAGCTCCAGCCTGGAAGGCCAGAAACATAAAACTCATTCAACAAACCAAGATAATTGTTTTTATTGAACATTTTGGTTTTCTTCTTCTTGTTTTTATTTCCTTTGTATGTATTTGTGCGTTTTTAGACATCCATACATCAAAATGTTGTTCTCGTTCACGAGATGAGAGCTTGGACTTGTGGTTTTTGTAACTTTAATACTTTTTTAAATATTTCACCTTATTTACCATTAATTTCCCCAAATAACTCCATCAAGAATGTTTCAGTTTCTTCATAAATCTTCTCTTTGAAATCTGCTTCAGCATGTTGCCTCTGTTTTTCTCTTTGTGTGCTACTTTTAACTTTTAGCTACCATTCTGCTACTTTAGGCCTTTTGGCTACAACTTCCTCTTCACATTATTTTAATGAGTTTTTTACCAAAGAATTCAAAGAGGCTGTTTGTCACTTGAAGATTAGTTTTTTTCCCACCACAAATATTATTTTTTACTTCTGAGGCAACAAACCAGTGACAGCACAAAGGAAGAACCTTTTTAAAGTCAGAAAAGTTAAAGTACCGTTTATTGTGATGATGTTGAAAACAATACAGCATACTTGCTAAAATGCTACTCTGTTCAGATGCTTTAAATAAAACTGAATGAATTTAAAAAGCCATAAAAACAAATAGCCTAACTAACTTAGGACGTCAGACACCCAGTTAGCTTCTCATTTAGAAAACAGCATGAAATTATTTAGTTAGTTAGTTTTTACTTAGAAGCAAAACTCTTGAGTTTTAGTTTTCTGGAAATTATAGACTGTAGCATAAAGGCTAATCTCTGGTTGGAAACAGGAAGAAGACTCAACTTCCTGTGGGAGTTTGTTGCCATAACAACGGACTGGTCCATTTCTTGACCGAACCAAAGCCGAAGATTAAAACACTTCTTCTTGACAGTGTCACAAAAACAAAAATTCATGGTATTAAGCTCACAAACAGCAGCATACCTGGACCGCGGGCAAACTTTTTTTTTTTTTTTCTTCCATTTTTTTAAAGATCGGGCTCGAAAGACCAAATATTTTTGTTAAAACAAATATAAATTCATCATCTACTTACTTAAAATAAGCCACACAGAGGATACGAGAATATTTTATCTGATTTACTACTTGCAAGGGGTGGACTTCACACACTTACACAGATGCTACATTGAAGCTTTGATGGCGAGGTCTGCCACAGATAGTATAAAGAAGTGCTTTTTATAATGCTTCTATCAGACAGACACAGATGACCTCAGTCTGCCAACTTACAAACTCAGAGAAGGCCTTGGAGTTTATCAGGTGTGCAGGCTCCTCTCAGAGAGGAAAACAACTCTATTGACCTCAGACACATGGTTCAACATTAATTTAACATTAGTTAGTGTATAACAGCCATGACCTTTATCTAAATTCCCCTGACAAGAAATATAAAACAGCAAAACTTGTCTCAGTCTGCAGATGTTTTCAACATAAATGGAGTACTGAACTAAATCTTTAAAATCAGACCACAAAACCAGAAGTGGATCCAAAGACACTAAATTCTTTAGACGTTCTCGGTGATAAGAGCAAGTAAACTGACAAAAGTGCTGCATCTTTTCAAAATTAAAGACCCATTTCCTCTAGAATAAAAACTTGTTTTTGGACCTTCACTCTGCTCTGAATATAAAAATGTTAGTTCACAACTTTATTTTTAACGCTTTATCTCACCCTGTGGAGGTTTGTCCAGCGTGTACCAGAGCTTAACCTTCTCAGGATGGTTCTTCTGCACCTCCTCCAGCTCCTCTCTCAGTAAAATATCTTTCTCAGTCTGTGATGGGGAAAACAGAACATGCATTCTTCCACAGACGTGCAGATGCTTTTAAAAACCGGCACAGTGAGCATGTAGCTGACCTGGTTGGCAAAGATGAGCGAGCACTTGGTGCTGTCTGCAGGATCTGAGGTGATGCTTCGGACCAGCTGTAGCATCGGGGTGATACCTGAGGCAAGCGGAGACACCAGGTTACTCTTAGATGGACAGGATTTTAACTAAGTTACAGCTTTTAATTCATACAAACTGTCCCTGTGACTAAAACACTGGATCCCACATTATAAAGCTGTGATGAGTTTATCAGAAATGTGAATAAACCTGTTCCTCCTGCAATCATCCCAACGTGCTTAAACTTCTGAACCTTTGGCTCCGTCTTCTTGTTGGCTCGAATAGAAAACGCACCTGGCCAGGTATGAGACAAACACTCAGTTGGTTTATACTGCAGCACAGCGCCATCTGCTGGTGGGATAATGTAAGTTCAAAAACCTCCAACCATTTCCCTTGTAGATGAGGAGTCCATTGGGTCCTCTGAAGTCCATGGTGTCTCCAATGGTCATGTTGTCCAGGTACTGAGACATCTGTCCTCCTTCTGGGTACGATGGGTGGCAGCCTTTGTAGTAGATCTGAAGAGGTTAAAGTTTAGTTTCATTTGTATGAACTTTTTATAAAAGTCTGCACAAGTTCTGAGGATTCATCTTTCAGATCTTAATAGAAGAAACTTCTCTAGTTCATATCTGATCTTAATCATTTTAAATAGAACCTCAAATGATCAAGACAGCAAGTTAAACCTGTCAATAATAAAGTTCAAATGAATTACACCAAATACAGAAGCAGTGTGTGAAAATGTTCAACAGTTCTTGACACGCTGATCGACTGTTTCTGATGTGAAGAGCATTGAAATTTAAAGATTAAACAACCTGAAATTCTTGTTAGTTTTGTGAAAAGCTAAAAAGAAAATAAATTACAGATGTTTTTGTACTGAGATCCAATGATGAAGCTCATAAGAACACATTTGATTCTAAATGTTAATTTGTACAAACTGCACTAAAGCAGACGTGTCAAAAGAATCTGTTTGTTGGCATTAAAACTATTTAACCATTAAAAAACACTTTACAAAGAAAAAAGTGATGTTATGAGCTCACTAGGGGATTGATATTGTTCGCTGTTGATTTGTAGATGAATGTTAATAAAAGCATGGCCGTACATATTTAAAAGAAGAAGGATTTGTAGGATATTTCTCCCCTTTTTAACTCACAAATTGTTGTTGAGCTTTGTTAGATTTTGTTTTTGCAGATCAAAACTAATCTGACAAATTAGATTAAATAAATACACAAATAACTGATATATGAAAATGATGGGGATTAAGGGTATAAATAGTCCAATGTTGCTAATTAAAAGCACAGATTAACTGATTATCACCAAGTCTGAGCATCTCTAATCAGAAATCTGCTGGTTGCAACATTTACCACTAATCCACCGATAAAAGATCTTTTACTGCATTGTTCATCATTTAGAACATTGAGATTGAAGAACCAGATTTAAGAATAAAATGTGCTCGTGCTGCTCCTAATTTATGGAATAATTTACACCTCTTCTCATGAGCATTCAGCGCAGGGAGAGCTGAATTAATTGGATCTTATTAATAAAGTTTCATGGATTAACCTCATTAGCTAATGTTAGTTTAATGTTGCATCGTTTTTTTTTTTACATCTACAGGTTCTGCAAAGCATTTCCCAATGTTTCCCATTCAGTCATTCACACCACACCCTTATTTAGTGCTTTTATACTCTATTTTTTATGACCTCACACCCTGATGAGCACATCGAGGACAGTGAGGGAGCCAGAAGTTTGCAGGAGCTGCGGATCAATCATTGGTTGTCGATAAATTATTTGATTGCTCCCAGTCTTGTTAATTGTGTACAGCACTTTTGAAATTTAGCTCCAGAGTCCTTTATAAATAAATCATAAAAACATTTAAAGAACTGAAGCAATTGCTTGTTTGCTGCAAAAATCATTGCACCAAGAACAACACTGCTCAAATTTACTGTGACAGATCAAATCTAGAATAAACCTTTGAGTTTAAATGTTTATTAAGAAAATGGCAGTGCGAGACAGGAAGCTAAACTGTTTTAAACCCTTTGTTAATCTCTTTGCTAACTTTATCTCCTAATGGTTGACTTGTACGTTGTGTTCTTAGGTTGTTTCAAAGAAATGAGCTTTTATGTTTAACTACCTTAACCACAAGGTCAACAAATCCCTGGTCTTCATCGCTGGAGACTGGAGTGTAGGGTTTGACCACCAGAGAGCCGTTCACCTTGGCTGTGAGGTAAACGTGCTGACCTGGAGCACAGGACAGAGGGATGAAGACAGCAGGAGGAGATCATGAGGAAACAAGGCTTCTAACGAGATTTCTCAATTCCTGTTTTCACCAGAAATCTGTCTCATGTCTTATTCATGCAGGTAACGAATCAGTCATTGTTTGGTGTTTTTCTGCTCAGGATGTGAAACAGTTTCAAATAAGACCTTTGGTCATTCTAAGAAGGGCTGGAGAAAACTGAAAGGAGCAAACAAGTGTCTAAATGTTTTACTTCAACAAGAAACTCTGAGCCTTTTTTTATCAGAAGTGAGCCGTTTTATTACCAACTGGCAGTCCAAGGATATGAGACGCAGATGGAAGGCCAAACCGAAACTTCTTTGTGTCACGACTGATTTCCTGCACAAGGACACAGTTTGAGAAAATAAAAAAAAGACGAAAAAAAAAAAAACCTTCCCTGCTGGTCTAAATAAGTTTTAGTTTCAGTCCGAGGCGTCTCTATGTTCAGATTTGAAGCGTTTGTCCTGTGATGTGTTGAAGTTTTACTTCAATTCCAACGCTCGCAGACAGCACATTTATGAGCTGCAGAGCTGTTACAGAGGTTCAAACTTCTGGCTTAAATCATACCAGTGTACGGCAAGCTGTTTGTGCATTTATTCCATATCCTTCACAACTCAACTCATTTTCACCCACTAGTTTAGACTGCACAGGTTGCCCTTTTTTTGCATTAGTTCCACAAACACTTACAGTAGTTTTTGGACTATAAGACACTTAAAATCCTTTAATTTTCTCAAAAATCGACATTGAGCCTTAAAATCAGGTGCGTTTTATGTATTAATTCTGGTTGTACTTTACTGACCTCAAACTAATTTTATCTAGTTATTGTGAATGAGTTGAATAAAGTTTGACTTATCCGACTATTAATGCGCCTTATAATCCAAAAAAATACAGTACTATTATCACTTTTTGTATAAACTAGTGGCACTTTTGCACAGCTAGTTGGAGAATACATAGTTCCTATTGGATCGCACCAGAAACTACCTGAAAACTGCCTCCTGTGGCCTGCGCTACATGTGCGCAGCGTTAACGAGAGCATTTTTAAAGTGCTTTTTTCAATTTATTTTCATCAACTGTGGCTTCTTCAAATGCTAAAGGAACTTACAGAGACACTGGAGTGTCATTGAAAAAGCAAGAAGGAAATACATTTTGCCATTATTGGTATTGAGCCATATGAGACGGGCTAAGACCAAATGCGTTGAGTCGGGTTCGCTCACTTACTTTGATTTTCTGGATTATTTAATTCACAAGAAAAGTGCATCACTTTGTGAGATTCCATGCAGTAACCGAATAATCAGCAGTTGGGTGAATGACGTAATGACTGAAAACTAACAAAGTTCTGATCACAAGCAGGGTAAGTAAACTTTGTTAGCTTCATATAAATCCCACGTTGGAAACCACATCAGTAAAGTTCAGATTTAATACATTTGAAAATGTCTTTGCTCGATGCTGAGTTGTAAAGTCAGTTCATTTTTTTATCACACCAGTGGATCAATGTGGTCTACAGCTATACGGTAAAAGTTAACTAGTGAGCATCAAACCCCCTTACCTGTTAGCTAAACACTAATATGACTACTAGTCACCTCCTAGTCCGACCTAAAAATGGAACTAATCGACATTTTACTAGTTTACATTTTTAACTGCACTAGTTGACAAGAAGGACAAACAAAGTGTCAATTATCGCAGAGTTTAGTAGTCAAGTTAATTTTTTGGGTACCACTTTACAAGAAGGCTCCCCTTATATATGGCTAATAAACAATTTATAGATATGTTATTAATTCCTCTATAAACACTTTATAATAATTAATAACTGCATTGAGGGTGACAGAAGACAAAACTGATCAATTTGTTGCCAAATACTGAATCAAATCTGTTCACATTTCATCTAGAGTTGTTATATTTAACATTTCAGACTAAGTTACGCCTTGTAAGCACAATAAGCATTTGTAAACCTAATTTCTTTAGAATATAATGTTGTACTTTATCACTGCATTATCTACATCTAATATTATATCCTAAAACATTAGGTTAACAAATGCTTATTGTGCTTACAAGGCGTAACTTAGTCTGAAATGTTTAATATAACAACTCTAGATGAAATATGTAGGTGAACAGATTTGGCTCACTATTTGGCAACAAACTAATCAGTTTGCTTCTTTCTCACCCTTAATTAATGCATAATAGGCAGCTATTAACGATTTGTAATGTGTTTATAGAGGAATTAATAATGCATCTATAAACTATTTATTAGCCATATATAAGGGACGCCTTATTGTAAAGTGGTACCATTATTTTACATTTTAAAGTTTTAATTGACCAGAAAATTTGGGTGAACTAATAAACAGACTGACTTTTTTTTTTTTACCTACGCTATTTAACTGGAAGGACAAATACAACTAGAGGACTAGTGAACATTACAGAGTTTATTTGAAGAATAATATATTTTTTAGATGGCACTAGTCACATATTTAACAGTCTTTAAGCCACAAGTAAACATGATCTGTTGACTAGTTAACGTGAATGTTTTTGATGCTTTAGTTAACTTGTGCAACCCAGTTGTCAATTTGCTTCACCCAGTAATCCACTACTGTGATAAAAGGACAACTAGTTGGGACTTTTGGGGTACTAGTGAAGCGAATTGGCTGACTAGTATGATTTTAGCTCTAATAGTTGGGCAAAAGTGTTACCAGTATAGATTTGTTGAACTTGTGCAACCAAAAGTGCAACTAGTACAGTTCGAAACTGACATTTGAGCTCAAGCATATTGATTAAATACACAAACAGCTTGCCATAAGATTGATAGCTCACTTTAGAGCCACAAATGGAGACTTTAACTAATACAGTAATCTACAAGTCTTGCAGACATTTATGTGCAAATTCAATCTATATTTCCTTCAATAAATTGTTTACAATAGCACTAAAGAAATGGATGTAGTTGCTTAAAAACAACAATTGCAGTAACTAGAAACATTTTTCCATCTGCGGTGCATTTAGATGATGAAGTACAAAGAAAAGGTGCAACATTTGTGCTGATTTGTGAGTTTTAAAAACGCCTGAGCAGTCCTTTCAGTCTGAAACCTGCAGCTCACCTGTTTGCTGATAAGAGGTAGTGAATATTTTATCATGGGGTCCTGGAGCGTTACGGGCCCTTTCTTCTTTTCTTTAAGGGAATTCCTCAGGAGGGAGAACAGCACCGTCACTACAAGCACAAACACGGCCAGAACCACCGGAACCACCTGCAGGACAAAGCTCAGTTTATAACCAGGACTCTGTGTGGAAAAGCAACAGCTCTCAAACCTTTTAACGTGACTTTTCAGAGAGTTTTACAAACTTCCAGGTTGATAACCCACTAAGCAGATAAAACGTTAAGTTCTAGTTTCTTACAAAATGAATTAAATAAAAATAATAATAAAAAAAAACATCAGATCTCACCAAGGTTTGATCCATAGCTTAACCAAGTGTGGCAGAGTGTCTTCCTCCTCTCAGAACTGGAGACCAGAGTCCACACACACACACAAACACACACACACACACACACCCCACACACACACACACACACACACACACACTTCCTGTTGGGTGAAAGGGGACAGGACGGGTCCGATGACCCAGAGGTGGTGCTGCAGCAGGAAGAGCCCTGAGATCACACCACTGCTGGAGGGAGGGGAGAGACACTCCTGTGGCCCCCAGAGAGAGAAATAATCTGTACTTAATCCTTTAAAGCTAACAAACATTTATATGGAAAGAAATTTCAATTTACAGAATTTTTTTTAACAAGTCAAATAAATCTTTGGCAAAATGTCAACCGCCCCAAAGAGCAGATCTGTATCAACGTGTTACTTTTTGTAATCTCTTGGGAGGATTTAGGTAAAAATACGTGATTAGAAATTTCTAATATCAATGATTTATTGTTGATTTTAAAGTGGTTTCTTCAAAGTTAACACAGCACTACCAGTCATTTATAAAAATAGTTGTAAAAACACCTTTCGAACCTTGAAGCAGGCTCGCTGTTTGAAAGATCAAGCGCTACAATTATTTCTTCATATTTTACATTTGAAAGATCAGCACGTTTCATCAGTAAGTGTTTGAGCACTGCAGCATTCGTGGCTAAAGTTTGTTTTTCCAGTAATTCAGTTAATAATTGAGCTGGCAATCAGTCGCATTTTCCTGAAAGAATAAAAATACAAGACTTAAACAGTAAATTGTTTTATAACTGTTAGAATTTTATTGCTTTATAAAGTGTCTACAAACACATAAATAATGTATGTATAACTCTAAATTGTCTGTAGGTGTGAGTGAGAGAGTGAATGGTTGTTTCTTGTTTGTATGTGTCCCAGTGATGGACTGGAGACCTGTCCAGGGTGTCCCCTGCCTCTCGCACAGTGACTACTAGATATGGGCACCAGTGACCTCAGTGACCTGAAAAGGAAGAAGCGGGTAAAAGATGATGGATGGATGGATTCAGCCCACAGAACCACACAGCTCATGTGAATTAGTGTAAATTAACTGTTCACCATCAGCAGCTCTGTGGTCACAAGAACCCATGAACCTTTAGCCACGTGATCTGTGAGCAGAAACGTGGTTGCTTCCAAGAGATGAATGGACTAAACTTTCACATTCTGCCTTCTGAAGTAATTAAATTCCTTCTTTCCGCAGGTTGCTTGTGCAGTTCCTGAGGTTTCATCATCTGATCTGCTAACATGAAGTTATGATTTACTGAGACCTGTTGGTCCAAACTGCTTTGATGGATCTGATCTCTGCTGCTGGACTGCTGCACAGCTGGATCTGCGACACAGAAACTCAAATAATTACTATAACTCAATGTATTTAAGACATTTATTGCAGAATATATTGTGCGTATTGCCTACAACAGTGTAGTTATATCAGACTGTGTCACTGTTTATTTGAACCAGCCTCACTTTTAGTTTCTGCCAGCAGAGGAAGCTCTAACGCACCAAACTAACTGCCTTGTGCTTCATGTGTGATTTAAGCATTAAATGGTTTGTCTAAGTCAATCTTTTTCACCTCTGTATAGATAACAGGCTGGTGACTTGACAAAATTAACAAACATGAAGCCTTGTAGAAAGAAAAAAAGCAATCAAGGAGCAGAAATCCTCCTTTTTTTTTCTAACATTGCCCTCCAGTCAGTTCCCAGGACGAGAGCAACAATATCCCTCATTTACTCTGTGTAGCTGAGGGGTTTTATTTTTTCATCCTCTCACTGGTGTGATTGGCAACACTTCACCCTCCTCAGACTGAAGCAACAACTCTCTGTGTCCTCACTGCCGTTTGACATCCTTAATGCACCGATGAGAAGATGCTGAGCTGAATCCTTACAGCTCCTCATGCCTCCATCCTCTAATGAGTTGGTGCAATAAACAGCTACACTTTGATTCAACCTGATCCTGTTAAAATGGTTATTTTTGCCTTTAAAACAATCTGATTTTGGTTAAAAATCAACTAAAACTATATGGGCGTGCACTCTGGTGGTTAGAGTACAACTGTAGCGTGTGAGTATTGTCACTCCACATACGGTAGTGCAGATTCTGTTTGTAATCCCGTCCCCTAAAGAATCTCTGTGAGTCAGAAAAATTTGTTTGAAAAGGTTGTACCTGCATTGAACACAGTGAAAAGTTAAATGGTGATTTATTTATGTCGTTAACATGAAGATGTAGGATTTCTGGCACCAAAATGTGATGTTTTATGCCATGTTTATATGTCTGCTTTCACTGGCATGTCCTGGACCTTATACCACCTGTCACCTACAAATATTGAATCATGGCAAATCTTGGGCGGAGCTTCTATTTTCACAGACTGGAGGGTGGGGTGAGTGGGGGCAGAGATGTGGCAGAGGTAAAAACAACATGAAGGTCTCGAGACACTGGGTGTGGTGAGAGTTAACCCTGCAGACGTGCAGAATGAACCGACAAAATAAAAACAACAGAGCTGGGAGACTGAAGAACATGAGTTCAAGAAAAACAGTCGCATGATGAAGGACACGGAGAAAATAACATCGATGGTACGAAAGGGATTGTTTTGAGTTTATACGAAAACAGATTTTTTTAGATTTATGACAAATTTGAAGTGGAATCAAAATTAAAACTCCCACTTGAAATCAGTTAAAACCCAGTTTAGTTTTAATTAAATGTCAAATATTTTGTTGTCAAACCTAGATGTTTTTACTGTTTAGCGTTAGCCTTGTGGTTCCCTGTTGACTGTTTTGTCACCTCAGTGGTAAATGTCTCAGATCTGTTAGAAATACTGCTGACTCAGCCTTGATTAGTCCACTTCATCGCTGCAGAAAGACCATTCATTTGTTACCAGCTGAGCAGAGAGCTGCTACACTGCAGACAATTTCACGCTTTGTTCAAGGACTCCTCAGCAGCAGAAATAATCACTGCTCTCTGACACAGAAACAAGAAGTCTGCTGCAACAGATTGTCAAACTGTTGGAACGACACCATGTTACCTGTTACCATACCTGTTCTCGTAATGTCAAAGGCAACGTGTTGCATTCTAGGAATTCAGTAGAACTACTGGTTCCCTGAACGTGGCTGGACTCTTTTCAAGAATATCTTTATAAAATAAGAATATAAGAGTTGATGAAGTTGTATAGTGCCACAAGGTTGCCTGTATGAACACATTGTTGCCTTTTCAGTGTGAGAAAAATATATTTTAATGTTACTGTTTAATATTACTAATAAAGACAATTTTTTTTGCTCAGTTGTATAATAAAATAAAACATATACCGGTAATTATTTTTCTTGCATTTTCACCAATTCACTGGCTGTGTTGCAGAAAGATCACACATTTTAAAATGCTAAAAAACTGCAGTAGTTGGTGAAAAATGTAAAATGTACAAATGATGATCAATTTAAACAAATTCTTTATGTATTAACAAACCTATACTTAAATAAATTATCTTAAAACACTTTATATAGAAAATAGATTTGTTTTAACCTCCTAAGACCTGAACTCTTGCATATGTGGATGCCAGGTCCTAGGAGGTTAAACATAAAAACAATTTTTAACACATTGTGAACTTTTCATGCACTACTGGTTCTCACAGATCCTGAGTGACTGGGCTCTTTCTGATGAAAATTTATGTAGTTTATGAAAACTTTGAATATTGTTGGCAACTTGTTTTAATTTATGTTGAGGACAAAAACAAAGAACAAGAATAACAGAATAAGATGACTTGATGTAAATTTAATAATGTGGAGTCAAAAAAATCCTTTATCTTTCAGCATCATGCTGCTTGTTGAACTACATTGTATAAAGGTTATATATATATATAT